ATGAACATCTTATAAATATTTTTTTAAATAAATAATACTTATTAAATAAAATTAATTTAGTTAAAATTAAATACTTAAATAGCACATAAATAATGCCAAAAAATATAATTCAAGAAACACATCAATTAATTTAATTTATACATCAAAATAATTATAAATTGCACTTAAAAACTAATAAATTAATATTATACAAACAATATGAAATGAATACAATTATTAGAATAAATTAACATAAATAATACCAAAATTCGACATAAACAAATAATTAAATAGATAAATATAAGCTATAAAATATGGCAAAATCAAGAGTTATCACGTCCCAATTAAAATTTTATGGTGAGAATATCAATTATAGCGATATGCTGGAAAAAAACATTCACCACGTTTTATGTCTCTAATATAGTTTTGCAGCAGCAATATCGAGAAAGAGGTTTTACTAAATATTGTGATTTTATTATTTGTTTTTTGGTTGCTGAGTAGAATAATTAATTATTATTAAAAAATTATGAATCTAGGCTAACTGGTGCAAGTCCATTCCATGAAGTGAATGCGATTTAATATTTGAACAATATGCCCAGATACAACGGCGGAAGAGGTCACGGAAAAGGCCGTGGGACATGGATTTCACCGTGCACGTAGATTCAATCGTGGATGTGGAGCCGATTGTGAATGTGGTCGTGGCAGGTTTGTTTCGCACAATTACAATGAGTTTTGATGAACAGGAACCAAACAGGCAGGCCCATGAAGTAACCTCAGGATGATGTTGATCAAGGTTCGAAGAAAATTGAGGATAATTATCGATGTGGGATGACAGGACATTGGTCCATAACTTGTCGCACAAACTCTTACTATGTAGAGTTGTACCAAAACTCCCTGAAATAGAAAAATAAAGCACCTGAAAATGCTAAAGCTCCGGATATTGCCAATGCCCTATAAATGAATTTTTCGGAATTGCCAATGGTAGTGTAGAGATAAATATACTGATAATACACTGTTAGATGTATTTGACTTTCTGGTATATCCTGAAGGTGGATACTGTGAAAATCTGGAAAGTGCAATGTAATAGTGCGTATAGATAGGTATATATATTTTGTAACCTCTGTACTTTTTGCCTCCATATTTTGTAAGAATATGAAATTATGTATATCCTTCAAATTTACTGATATATTTTTAAAATGTAAGAAATATTTCACCAACTTGAAGTTGAAAAAAATTGAGATAGATAGGTGGTTGTACAAAATTAATTGAGGGCTCCGGAAGAGCAACAATATTTCTCCTCGAATGAGTAAAACTTGATGTTGAAAATGCACTATATTCTAGAAAGTTCCAAAGAAATTTACTAAGTTTTAATGACATTTGTATAAATGGATATCATATTGAGACATCAAATGAAACAAATAATGAATTTTTGTTGATTACAAAATTCATTGATGGACACAAATATATATTAGAAAAATCGTCTTCATTGTCTTCCGGATTATATTACACAAAGATTAATGCAGTTGAAATATATCTGGTAGACCAGAAGTCTACAAATTTTATGATTTGACATGACCGATTTCAGCATCCCGGTAGTACTATGATGAGACGAATTATTGAAAATTTTCAATACCCCATGGCCATAATTTGAAAATTCAGATTATATTAAATACAAATGAGTTAAACTATGTTGCTTGCTCAAAAGAGAAGTTAATAACTAGACCATCACGACTTGAATCCCATGCATTTTTAGAGTGAATTCAGGGTAATATATGTGGGCTTGTATAATATGGACCATTTTGATATTTTATTGTACTTATTGATGCATCTATTCGATGATTGCATGTATGTTTATTATATATCCGTAATTCCCCATTTGCGAGGTTAATTGCTGAAATAATAAAATTACAGATACAATTTTTCGATCACCAAATAAAAAAAATTCGTCTTGATAATACTGGTGAATTTTCATCTAAAATATTTGATGGTTATTGCATATCTATTGGTATTGATATTGAGCATCATGTACCACTTGTACATACTAAAAATGGTCTAGCTAAATCACTTATAAAAAGATTGCAGTTCATTGCAAGACCTATGTTAATGGAATCTAAACTTCCTATATCTGCTTGGGGATATGCAGTTATGCATGCAACAACATCATAAAGTTAAGACCGACAAGCTATCATAATTACTCCCCATTACAATTGGTGTACAATGAAAAACCCAATATATCACATTTGTGAATAGTCAAGTGCACAATTTATGTGCTAGTAGCACCGCCCCAACGCACAAAAATGGGCCCTCAACAAAGATTAGAGATATATGTCAGGTATGAATCACCATCTATTATTAAATATCTTGAACCATTAACTGATGATTTATTTACGGCTCGATTTGTTGATTGTCATTTTGACGAGTCACATTTCCCGATATTAAGGGGAGAACCTGATCAATTGATAAAAGAAGTTACTTGGAATATACCATTTAGTTTTTTTTATCCTCACATAAATCAAAGAGAATTAGAAGTTCAGAAAATTGTTCATTTGCAGCAAATTGCAAACCAACTATCTGATGCTTTTTGTGACGCCAGCAGAGTCACTAGAACATATATAACTGCAGAAAATACACCTGCTAAAATTATTATCCCTGAAGAAAAAATGCAAATGCTAATGAATCAGATGCATGCTTGAAGCGTGACAGACCTTTAAGTTCTAAAGATACAAATCCTCGAAAGAAAATAAAAACAAATGAAAGGACTAAGGATAGAAATATTAATCAAAATATTCAAGAAACATATGGTAACATGAATCAAATTCCTAAAGAAATTGATCATAATAAACTTCATGAGGAAGTTAATCCTGATAGAATTTCTTCTGAAGATGATGAAATTATTGAAAATTTAATAAATTATGTCACTACTGGAAAACATTGGAACCGAAATGATACAATTGTGAATAATACTTTCACATAGAATATAAGACTTGATCTAATGGAAAATGACGAGAATTCAGAACCTAGATCAGTTGATGAATTTCGGAAAAGAATAAATTGACCAAATTAGATAGATGCAATCCAGTTTTTGAATTAAATTCACTGGCAAAACAAAAGGTTTTTGGACTAATTGTTCAAACACCTGAAAGTGATAAGTCTGTTGGCTATAAATGGGTATTTTTCGAAAACGAAATGAGAACAACGAAATTGTCAGATATAAAACAAGACTTGTTGCCTAAGGTTTTTCACAAAGACCTGGAATTGATTTTAATGAAACGTATTCTCCAGTAATGAATGGAATAACATTTCAATATTTTGTTAGTTTGACAGTTCATGAAAATTTGGATATGTGTCTAATGGACGTCGTAAATGTCTATTTATATGGCTAATTGGATAGTAATATTTACATGAAAATCCATGAAGGATTTAGTGTGTCTGATGCATACAAGTCAAAGCTAAAGGAATGCTATTTTATTAAATTACAAAATTCTTTATACGGCCTCAAGCAATCTGATCGCATATGATACAACTATCTCAGTGAATCATTGATGAAAAAAAGGATATACTAATAATTATGTTTGCCCATGTATTTTTATAAAGAAGAATGATACAATATTTATAATCATAACTGTTTATATGGACGATATGAACTTAATTGAAACTCTCGATGAGCTCAAAGAAGCCATTGAATACTTGAAAAAGAAATTTAAAACTAAGGATTTTGGGAAAACAAAATTCTACCTTGGTCTACAGATTGAACCATTGGGAAATGAAATTTTAATTCATCAATCTACATATACCCAGAAGATATTAAAATAATTTAGAATGAATAAAACACATTCATTAAGTACTTAAATGGTCCCGAAGTACCTCATTTAAATGCTATCGGCACATTAATGTATCTGACCAATAGTTCAAGACCATATATAACATTTGCTATAAATTTATTAGCCATATTTAGTGCAATGCCAACACAATGACATTGAAAATGAATCAAACATATTTTTCATTATTTCTAAGTAACTATTGATCTTGGCCTCTTATATTCAAAGAATTTTCGACATGATATGATTGAATATGCAGATGTTGTATATCTTTCTGACCCGCATAAAAACAAGTCTTAGAATGGTTATATATTTACTTGTGGAGGAACAGTGGTATCAAGGAGATCCACTAAACGAACTTTAACCTCCACATCTTCAAATCATGCGGAAATAATAGCGATTGATGAAACTAATCGAGAGTGTGTTTGGTTGAGATCGATGATTTATCGCATTTTACAAAATTGTGATTTGATATCTGAAAATGATAATCCTCTTATTATTTTATACGAAGATAATGCAGCTTGTATAACTCAACTAAAAAGAAGATATATCAGAGGAGATAGAACCAAACACATCTCACCAAAATTTTTCTTTATACATAATCTTCAGAAAAATGGTGAAACAGATGTGCAGCAGATTCGATCCAATAGAAACGTAACATATTTATTAACCAAGTGTTTATCTACTGCAATGTTCGAAAAATTGATGAAAAATATTGGGATGCAAGATTCTAAGTGATATCTCATTAGATTTTTTCCTAACAAAGTTTTAATAAACCATATTCATTGTAGTTAATTATACCTAAGGGGAGTGTTATGACTCATCGTACGAATGAATAGATGTCAGATGAATTTTCATGCACGATGACATCTTTGATGTGTAAATTTCATATAATGAGAACAAGTGTATTTTGATGACTAATCATCATCATTAAAGCCTATAAATAGGCTTGGCATGTATCGAAATAAAACATAACAAATCTTCCACTTCCATCTTTTATTAGTATCACTTCTCTCTAAAATATAAAAATATTATATCTATATATGTATACACACGTATCTACTTTTATATATATATATAAAATTTACAATATATATGTGAAGTATTGTTTTTATAATTATTAAAATTTCAAAGATAAATCAGACGGATAGTTGCGGACGGGCGTCGTGAGAGTTAGCAAAGATGTAGAATCCTTCTGTGGCACGTGCCGTGCGTGTGGGCGAATGTGATGAGAAAGTGAAGAGAGTATTTTCATTTTTATTTTTTTTCGTATATTTCAGGTGAGCAACGGCGGGAAATCGATTTCCATCCGCCATTGAAAAACCCTAAATAAAAAATTTATTCCCAATTGTAGAGAGAGAGAGAGGGAGGGTGGAGTGAGAAGTGCAATTCTTCTCCTTTTTTCTCTTTCGCTCCCAAATCGTCCGCCATGGATGCATTCCCCGCCACCGGCGATTTGCCCATCTCATCGGAAGAAACCAAGGTTGCGCGGCTCAACCCCGCACTAGAGGAGCGGGACGACGACGAGTTCCGGAGGGAGAGCCCTCGGCTCAAGTACATCCCGCTCTGCGACGTCTACTCCGCCACATCTCCTTGCGTCACCGCCACCGGATCGAAGAAGGTCAAGGCTGCTGCGCGGAGGCTCCCAAGGGCCAGCGGCAATGATCAATTGAAGCACCACTTGATCGGAGTGAAGTCTGAGATAACTCACGTCTACTCCAGGCGCCGCAAGCGGAGAGAGGAGAAACCCTCTTCGCTTCTCGAGTCGTTGCTTTCTCAAGGAATAGATGTGAAGTCAGAGAAAGTGGAGATTGATGATGGAGGAACGGAGACCGGAATTAAACGAAGGAGAATGGGCACTGGCGCGAGGGTGATGAAAGCCATCGCTGATTGTAAGGCATCCTGTGAATTGAATGATCGGCCTGAATTGAATGATTGTGTGAAAAAGATTGATACCGATGATGTAAACAAGACTCCGAAGTTCGATGGTATAGTTAAGGGTTGTGAGAGCAGGACGCGGAAGAAGGATTGTTTAGCAAATAGTTCTAAAACATCGGGAGCTGCAAAGCCAAAGAAATGGGTCTGGTATGTGTTGGTTTTTGGTCTCCTAAATGAGAGTATTTTCAAGTGCTGACATTATTGATGGGCGGTTAGTGTCTCACTTTATTGTATTTGTATGATTATGTAGGCTGAGTATCAAAGGTACTGACCCAAATAAATTCACTGGACTACAATGCAAGGTACGAACTCTTCAATACCTATGCAATTGGGATGCCCACGAGAATTGTAGTTGAGGCCATCGTGAGAAAGTATCCATTTGCATTTATCAATGTGAATTGTGTTAAAATATTACTGTTAAAACAGTTTCCCCACATATTCATCATACCATTTGTAGATATAATCTTGTGTGAAGTTTCATGTGCTATTAAATTGTTTGTGTTACTTGCTACTTGCGCGACGGAATCTCATAGTTAATGTGAACAGGTTTACTGGCCGCTTGATGCAAGTTGGTATTCTGGTCATATAGTAGCTTACAATTCTGAGACCAATCGGCACCATGTAATGTTCTTTTACATTATGAATGATGATAAATTTCTGCCACACAAGAAGCTACATCATTGTGTCACTTTGTTAATGTGTGAAGTGCCATGCAGGTGAAGTATGAAGACGGTGAAGAGGAAAACCTGATTATATCAAACGAACGAGTCAAGTTTCATGTGTCTTCTGAGGAAATACAAAATTTGAAACTCAAGGTCAGTGAGAAGAGCTCAGAAGCTGAAGGGATTGATGTGAGTGAGTTGATGGTTTTGGCTGCTAGTTTGGATGATTGCCAGGAGATTGAGCCTGGAGATGTTATTTGGGCAAAGCTTACTGGTGCGTCACTAGATATTTAGATTCAATATTGATTTGTTTCACCAATATGGTGAAGTTATTTATCTGTAAGCATTTGACATTTAAGTAATATGCAAGATGCCTATTCTTTTTACCCCAATATTTTGGGGTTTTAGCAATGGTTTTAATGTCTTACTTCTATGGTTCTTCTCTTTTTTCTACTCAAAACACTATAGTTGTAAGTTAAAGAGCCGTTGATACTTCCATAATTTTTCCTGATTTTATTTTAATTACGTTTTTATTTATTGTGTCTAAAGATGGTTGTTGTCATAGCCCACTTTAGGTTTGAGATTTTAATTGTTTCTGTTATGCAATTACAGCCTTCTAGCTTTTATGGTTAGTTTGATTGACAATTATTTCTTGATTTCTATAGGACATTCTATATGGCCTGCAATTGTTTTGGATGAATCACATGTAAGTCAACGGAAAGGTCTCAACATTTCTGGAGGAAAATCAATCCTAGTACAATTCTTTGGTACCCATGATTTTGCTAGGTAATATTATAGAGTAATTTGGCAGTTTTAAAGTACTATCCTCCAGTTGGAAGTTTGGTAATGTTGATAGCCTGTTTTTTCATGGGATTCAGGGTAAGAAGGAATCAGGTTAGCCCTTTCCTTAAGGGCCTTCTTTCATCCTGTCATTCAAAGTGCAATAAACCAACCTTTGTTACTGGATTGGAGGAAGCAAAAATGTGAGTTTCTTTTCTTTTTTTTTCTTCTTGTCGCTGATGTTCTTTGGTTATCTGACCTCTGCTTCTGTATGCTGGCAGTTTCTCTTTTCAAATTTTACTCAAAACCTTTTTTGGAAATGAACAAAATACAAAAAAGAGTTGAATCTTCAACAGTACATTTGCATTTTCAGCTTCCTGTCACTATTGTATAATTTGGATTCTTAAATATGAAAGTTTACATGCCTGGGAAGAGGGCATATGTGCATGTTTCACCATTTTTTTTTTGTTTTTCAGATTGGCTGTTTTTGTCCTTTGGAAAGAACCAGCTGTATATAATAAAACTTGGAATAGGTTTACAACCCAGGGAGCATAGGAGTTCCTACAGATAGAGTCATGTAGAGGAGATGGAATTGGAGCTAAATATAGGGACTAGCAGATGATAGATTTGAAAAACAAGATTCACTGATAGTTGTAACCCAATTGAGAAATCTGGTAAAGTGTGAAATTGTGAATCCTCTATCTACACATTTTGCAAAGAAGTTAGCCATTTCATTAGCCAAATGAGATGTACTGGAAAGTGATGCTGGGCATCTAGAAATGAAGGATCAGAGCGTATTGATGTTTGAGTTCAACTTTCAAGGGAGTGCACACGATCAATCTGACCCGGTGCACTTTTTGAGTTGCAGTCAATGGTAATTTGGGGCAATGGGCCTAAACTAGAACAACATGCACGGGGACATATAAGATGGCCATATTATCTATAGATTGACTTGATAATCCATTTGTAGGGAGATTTCATTTTTAAAAGCAAATTATCTGTTCAGTTCATGGATTGGTTGCTTTCTATTCCTACGGAAAGTTGAAAACAGAATACCCTTTGTAGCTTCTTTCTCTTTCATTGGCAAATTTGGAGGTTTCCTAGAAAACTCACTCAATTTGCCTTGATTCAGGTATCTTAGTGAACATACTCTCCCAAAAGTAATGCTGCAGCAGCGTGATGATGCTGATGCTGATGCTGATGCTGATATTAATAATTGTGGAAGTGGTAGTGGAGGACACGAAGATGGTATTGATTCTGGTGACGAAGAATGCACAAGCCATGATGATATACAAAAGAAAATTGAAGATCTCAAAAACTCCCCATTAGAATCTGGAGAGTTGCAAATAGTAAACCTTGGTAAGTGTTGATATGATAATGTTTCTACGTTGACAAGAGATTTCCCAATTTCTTTGCTACATGGGTTGTTCCTGTCATGTCAGGATTAATTACTTGTTTCAAGTCTTTTTGTTGTGCTACTTCATGATATTTCCATACTTAGGGTATTGTGTTGTAGTCAGATTCTGGATATAGCACTTATGAGCTTCAATCAATAATTCACCTGTAACTGCTGATGTTGATGAATCACTACCATTATTTTTCCTTCTGTAGGATTTTGATAAAGATGGACTTCTGTCAAATGATTGCTTGAATCAACTTAATTATATTCTGTGCATGTAAACTGTGTTGCAGGAAAGATAGTCAAAGGCTCCTTAAAGTTTCAAAATGAGAGGTTTATTTGGCCCAAGGGTTATACTGCTAGGAGGATGTTTCTTTCCATAACAGGTGATTGTTGCTCTAGAGGTGTTTCCTGTGAATTTGTTCGTTTAAGTAGTGGCGGATTTATTACTGATCCTTCATCATTGATGCCTTTTGGTTTTTCCCTTTTGCTTCAAGATCCAAATGTACAGACCTTATATAAGATGGAAGTACTGTATCTGGACTCAAGGATCAGGCCTCTATTCAGAGTAACAGCAGACACTGGAGAAGAGGTACTTGAAAATCCATAATTTCTGCATTCATAAGAAATTTCGATTGTATATCTTTCAGATACATGACATTTAGGTCTTTTCAGTTCTCTCTTTTTTTTTTTTTTTTTTTTTTTTTTTCTTTCTTTCTTTCTTTCTTTTCTTTGTAAGTTTTGGTGTGATCATGTTCTCTTGATACATGACTTTCCCTGGACCTTGCTCATACATAGGTGTATGATGCTTTATATGAGCTTATATAGCTGAGAAAACTGAAAAATTGTCTGGATCTATGTAAAATTGGCTCAGCATTGCAGCTTCCCCGAAATTAGAAAATATAAGTTCATCATCAGGAAGCCTAAATGATTGCTCTGTTGACATTTCCATTACATAAATTGAGAGGCTTATGTTTACTGTTTTATTTATATATTCCTCATAGAAACTGGCCTCTGATTTGGGGTAAATTTGCTGGCTATGGTAACACCTTGATTTATAGGTCATCCTTGTAGATAGAAATACTAGAGTTAGGGTTCTAGAAATCATGTAGTTTCTCATGTTGAAACCTTGTGGAAATCAATGTAGTACCTATATGTACATAAAAAGTTCTGTAAAATGCTTTAATTTAACTAATGAATCTGACAGCAGCTTTCATAACTGAATTTGAGGGATTCAAAATAGGACATTAGTCTTAAATTTATAGTGTTAACCGATTTTCATCACCTCTCTATGGGAGGCATTGTGCGCAAGGAGATGGAGCTCAAGAATTTCTCTTAGTCACCCAGAAACAAATAGTTTTGAGGTTATTTGAATCTTTTAAGCAAGAATATTCAAGCTTGTAATTTATGGATGCAGGAAGCTATTCATAAAAAGTGTTTCTATTCATTGGAAGAAATGTATGGCTACAATGTAAGAGTTTGAAGTGGAATGAAGTTTCATTTATGATAGATCTGGCTGAGAGCCAATAAGGGCGAAGTCTTAATATTCTGAGTTAATCCAACGCTATCAGCTCATGGATATAAGGTCTCCTACTTGTTAGTGAATGAAATGGTTTAAGTGTTATGGAAAGTTAAAACATTTCAATTTGTACTCTTAACAACATTAGATCTTTATTATTCAATCAAGAAACTACACAGACGTTCATATTTCCTACATTTGTAGGACCCTAAATAATTTATAGAATCAGCAACTTATTCGAGAATATAGGTATTCCGGTTTGTTGAGATATGAATGTCTAGAAAAATTGCCTTTGTTTCAGTTTTGACAGCCATGTGGTTTGTACTATGAAGGAACTTTTGAATCATTAGTACAGCCACAAGGTCCTCTTTGTTTAAACTCTACTTCTTGTTCAAGCTGGCATCATCTTGCTTGTCAGCAGGCTTTGAAAGCACTCATTTTAGGGCTGCTGGAACCACATTATCTACTGAGGGAAATTTTTATGTTGGCAACAAAGGCTTTATTAAGTTAAAAGATAATTTACACTTCTAAAATAGATTGTGCATATATCCATTTCTGGCTTGGTAGTTCGGTTTGATTTGGCAACAAAGGCTTTATTAAGTTCAAAGATAACTTACACTTCTAAATTAGATTTTGCATATATCCATTTCTAGCTTGGCAGTTTGGTTTGATACTTGATATTGTTTACATGTTTTTTTTCATACACTTGAACCCTGGTTCCTGTATCATTTTATTATCACCAATTTGTGCAAAGTACCTGTTTTATTTATTTGGTGGCTGGCTCATAGAACTTTCTTAATTAAATTATTTCTTTCGGTTCAATGCTTTTGTTTACAGTTTAATGGGCCAACTCCATCTGCTTGCTGGAATAAAATATATAAAAGGGTTAGGATGGTACAAATGAAAAATCAGAATTCTAAAGGGGATCAGAGTTTTGCTTCTGGTTCTTACATGTTTGGTTTTGCCCACCCGAAAGTTTCCAAACTCTTAAAGGTATGCATTCAACTCGCCATTAAATTGACATGTCCTCTGTTATATCAATACCATTAATTTAATTTATGTAATTGGTTATGATCATTTATTTTATATATATGTATTTTTCTATTTCCATGCCATGCGTGCAATGGAGGGCATGTGAATTCAGTCCAAATATCCATGGTTCAATAATGTCACTACTTTACAGTGCACAGATTGCATATAAATTTTTGGTTTAGCCTTTTTTGGTTGACACAGAATGTGTTAGCTTTCTAATGAAAATCCATTGTTTGTCCTTGTCCCCAATAATTTTTTTATATATCCATTGTATATGCTCAAAAAATCCATGCAACTGATTTAACACCTCTTAATGATACGTGTTTTGCCACTTTTTGTGTCAGAGTGTTTTGGATATAGAGGTTGGGGAATGTGTTCTATTTTTGGTATATTATGGTATATACTTGGGATTTTAATCAGCACTGTTATATCCAAATCTTTTGGGGACTACACACGCCTGTACAAATTAGTTAAATTGATGTAATGTTTTATATATGTAAAGACATGTATAAAGAGAAAGCATCTTAATTTCTGGTACACTTGTTAATAATAATAAAATCTGATATGACTGCTACTTTAAGAGAAAGGAAGTGGAGAAGTATAACTCCTGCTATTCTTGTTTAAGGTTTTCTATTAGTGAGAGTCTTTGTTGGGTTTCCTACTATATATTTTTCTGTTACTTTCAAGCATCAGTTTGTCTTTTATAATCATTCATATTGTTTGCTTACAGAATTTGCTAATAGCACTACAACACTATTCACTTGAATGCATATAAATTGACAAAACAAGCAAACTCATCGTATATAAGACATTAAAATTTGTGGAGGTGTGAGTGGTAGACGGAATTGAAGGCGCAAAAATGGAAGAAGGGAGAAAGAGTGTTGAAGCATTTGAAAGGTTGGGAGAAAAAGTTAAATTATTTAGTTTAGAAACAGAGAGGGAATAGACTGGAAAGACGAGAACACAAGTGGCAGATGACATGAATAGGGCTGACGCGTAGTATATACAGTTTGTACATCAAGAGAACTCCATGATATTTTGTTAAACAGAAAGATTTACAAGAATAGGTCTAGCTGAAAGTATTTATAGAAGGAAATCTGAAGGGCCAACAATGGCACATTAAAAGTGGGTTGAAAATGAAAATCAACAGAAATGTTGTCTGGTCAATTAGAAAGACGATGAAACTCCTAACATAAAAAGTTCAAGCTGCATTATACAGTTTTAGAAGACACAGGAACACTATAAATATACCAGAACCCAAGATTTCATTGCAGATATGAAATTACATAAACCACATCTATAGATCTAGTCATTGGATTTTACTAGTAACGTTGGATTTTGATCTCTCTTTATCTCTGTATATCAGAGGAAAGAAAAGTTTCATCTGAAGTATTGTATATTTTTGGGGAATTTTTAGTTTACCCATTTATTTATTATCTGTTGTTGCTTTGAGGTGATTTATGATTTTCCTTATGCTTTCATTAGTTCTGTATATGGTTCATTTCACACAGTTCCTTGTCAAAGTGGCTATGAGAATTCTACTTGTTTACACCTTCCTTTGCATTCAACTAATCTCTCTGTACTTGCAGGAAATGTCTAGTTCTCAAAAGTCTTTGAGATCCTCCCATCTAGCATCTAGGAAAATCAAAGGCCTTCCTGTTGGATACAGGCCTGTCACTGTTGAATGGAGGGACCTTGATAAGTGCAATGTTTGCCATATGGATGAGGTGTTTTTTATTTTTTTCTCTTTGTAAAATTACCATTGTTCTTTAAATGTAAACAATTAGTTGCTGTTAAACGATCATTTCATCTAAAAGCTTAAGCTTGAAGGGATATATATCATTATTTATTATATTGTTAACCAACATACATATTCTACGCTATTTTATTTTCATGGTCAACTTAATCAAACATGATAGCAATATCCCCTGGAAAGTGTAGTTTTCTTATGTCTTTACTCCAAAATATTTATACCATTAGTAATTTATTTCACAATCTTCTTGATTATATAGATAATAAATATTATGAATATACCAAATCTAATTATCTAAAACTTCTTACTGCAGGAATACGAGAACAATTTATTTCTTCAGTGCGACAAATGCAGGATGATGGTAGGTCCAACCCTAATCCATTTTTTTGATTCATTTTTTTGGTGAATGACTTGTTTGTTTTTGTCAGTGCTTGCATCAATATTTGTTCTCTATATTTTTACAAGAAATCAGTGCAATAAATGGCACACCTGGCTATATCTGTTTTACTGTTGTGATTGCTGACGTCGTGCATGTAAAAATTTCGTCATCTGATTTATATGACATAACTACAATATTTCAGTTATCCTTCACTTCAGTTCATACCTAAACATGCAGTCTTCATCCTGTGGGCAGACTTTGTGCCTATTAAAATCTGAGTTGATTTTGTCAGGTGGTCATGCATATGATAGATTTTCACAATGTTCGTATGATTATCGAGCATAGCTCTATTTCCATTGATAATTTGCATCACTAAGCATTTATTTGCGTAGTCAAGTTATTTTGTGTTTCTATTAATCTAATTTTTTTATTTGCAATTTTCATTCTTCTACCTTTTTTTTTCCTACCTACACTGCAATATAGAAGCTTGAACTGTCAATGGACTGCATCTTATCAAATAACTTAGGTGCTTTGAATTTTATATCTCTAAGTGTTCCAGAGTTGGTATTCTAAATGCCTATTCCTTGTTGAGTATTCCCCTTATTATGAAATGATGATTTTGCGGCTACATAATATTCTTGGTTTTTTTAGCATCATCACTCCCCTTGATGTTTCATATCTATGTAATGCTTTTGTACAAATTTCTGTTTTAATTTCTCAATCAAAATAAATATTTTAATTCATTACCGTGTCTTTTTCTATTTTTTAATAATTATTGATATTTATACATATGTTTTCTTCTCCTCTCTCTGATGGCATGTTTTACATTCTACAATATTTGTTCAGGTGCATGCTAGATGCTATGGAGAACTAGAGCCTACTGGTGGTGTTCTTTGGCTTTGTAACTTGTGTCGTCCAGGAGCTCCAGAATCTCCAAGATGCTGCCTGTGTCCTGTGCAAGGTAGTTTTTAATACACCCTCCGTTCTGCCACAGATGACACATTTTTCTCTTTTGTCCGTCCAATATAAATTATTTTAGTTAAATTTCTAATCTCTTGTACAAATGATCAACTCAAAATCTCTTTATTTCTATTTTTCTCTTCAATAAACAAATATTTTTATCTACATTTAAAACTTTTCAGTTTTTTTATAAAACTATTTTAAGTTTAATTATAAATAAATATATTTTTATTTGTATTATATAAAATTTTATTATCTACAAAATGATATTCATATTGTATATATTTTATTGAGATATAATACTAACAATATTTAAACACATTCTAATTTCTTTTAATCATATATATATAAATTTATATTTTTAAAATACCAACAATTTCACTCATATAAAAATAACAAGATAATATCATAATTTATTATTAATAATTTACTAATCTACACTACTTAAAAATGCCGTGTCTCTAGCCAAACGGGTCATCTTACTCGGGATGGAGGGAGTATATCTCATTATTTTTTACCATCAATTACTGTTGAATCGGGTCTAGTATAGGATTGTAACTTAATATAACCTTATTGCTATGATGCGACTGGATCTGTTTTAGGAGGTGCTATGAAGCCTACTACAGATGGGCGGTGGGCTCATCTGGCTTGTGCCATATGGATACCAGGTTCCATCTGCGCAATTCACTAATAGTCTAATACATAAAACATACACTCATTTGCCTCTTGGATTAACTATTGGAATATTCCATTTACTGCAGAAACCTGCTTATCTGATATAAAAAAAATGGAACCCATTGATGGGCTAAGTAGAATCAATAAGGTATCTTCTATGTTTTCTACAAACTTTGATACCTTATCTTGAACTTATGTTGTTTACCTCTAAAGGGCATTTGCCTGCCCTGTGATCTGCTTGAGAAACTCTATTTGTATGTGTATAATAATTTTTGGATTATCTGCTGACATTATTTCTTTATGTTAGTATGGTGCTAAGTCTTAAGTACTACATTGCTTCTTTGATAATATCCAGGATCGGTGGAAGCTCTTATGCAGCATCTGTGGTGTTTCTCATGGAGCATGTATCCAGGTAGATTTATCCTTTGCTCGTGTTGTTGTGCAATGTTTTCTTCTTGAGGTTCATAAAGTGATCCAACTTGTCAAAGGTTCCATAAGTATGGTTCCTGGGCTATCATAGGCCTACTGAACTTTTTAATAATCTGTTGTATATATATTTCTTTTTTGGGAAAGTAGCATTTTTCTATATCATATAAGATAGAATAAATTACAATTTGGGAATGCAGGAGTTCCTGATAGATTGATAGACACTAAAATATAAGCACCCTAAACACATAGGACTGGCTGAACCATAGGAGCTGAGAATAGGTATAAGAGCTGTGAAGTCTGAGGATCCAGATATGGCAAAAGTTACAGCCTAACTAAGATAAATGTGGACATGCAGCTTGTTGATGTTTTGACTTTAATTTCCAAGAGGCGCTGTTCTGTTAATCCAATCTGAGTGCATTTTTTGATATGCTCTCGATAGTAATCCGGGGGCAATGGGCCTAATTATTGTAAGGCAACCTTCTCAAGGACAGTGAGATGGCCAGGACTTTTGCAACATTTTAGTTCGTTGAGTCACTATAATTGAAAGGATGAGTATGATGCGTCAATAATAATTGTGAATGACTGTGCCAATATTGGATGGCTCCTATTAGCCAAACACCAAACCAACTGCGTTGATTTTCCATCATCCACAAAGAGACCCTTTCAAAAGATTGTTGGCACATGATAAGGCTTCTTTTCTTTCACTAATGAGATGTTTTGGAGAACGTTCCATCAAGGACTTGAGAGGGGTAACAAAGTCTGAGAAGGAGCACTCAGTACAAGTCGCCGATAGATAATTGAATTTTGAATAGGATACAACTCGGGGGTAACTCCCTGTTGTTGAAGATAACTGCATTAAAAGCTTCACGGATCTTTCAGTAGTGGCCTTAAGAACTCTATTCACATATTTCAGCATTACTGACCTTGTTAGCTGAGTAATGCCATTGAATGATAAGATTGAGGCAAAAAGAGGGCCAATATGCAAGAGATGTTCCACAGTCTAAGGTCCAAATAGTGGACACTGAATGGCAGTGAAGGAATAAGTGACTGCTATGATAGCTACAAAAGGCACAATGGACATTGGATGGAAAGCAGCCTCTGGATGATAGAACATCCTTAACGGGACGGTCTCTTCTTAATATCTTCAAAAAGAATGTATAACACAACATGGGGCAATTTTAATCCAAATAATTGGATTGGGAGACCATGTTTGAGGGGTGATGAGAATCTCAGAGCCACTGATAGGACTGGAAGCTGAATGATACATTGGGATTAGGCTTCCATATCAATTTGTCTTGACTATTGTCCAAGATAGTGATGGAATTGAGCACATTCAAGTAATCCTCCCATAAATTGCATTCCCAATCAAAAAGGGCTTGGCGAAGCTTGATATTGCTAATTCCATATGCCATTGTTGCAAGAGCCAGTCTTGAATAGAACTCGATTTCGCACATGCAAAGGAATAGAACCAAAGGGCTGTTGTATTGATCCTTCTATTCTAGCTCTCTTTGGGAACCTGTTTAATTGTAATAAGTTCATGTATAACATCGGTGAGCTATGTGTTCCATGTGTTTCCCTGGTTGTGGATGAGAAAGAACTTTGTCTTAGAAGATTGACTTAGTATTTTTTTTTTCTTCGGAAGCACATATAAAATTTGGTGCATTGGAAATTTTCTCTATTTAAAACATATGCTTAGTAATGTGTAATGATTGGTTCATGCCTAATTTGATGCATTCATGTCACTTGCCTTGTGATATGTCTATTCCACTCCTTATGGCATGATTTGGGAACTTAACTTGAAATTGCAGTTTCTTTGCACTAGCCAATTCACTGACTTCACTTCTTTTATACCTTGGTAGGACTAATTTTTTTTTTTTTTTTTTTTTTTTTTTTTTTTTTTTTTCACTCATGATAATTTTATTTTTCTCAGATCAATAGGCTTATTTTATCATTGACTTAGAGCATGGGTCCATATTGACATCTTATTGCTTCTCTATATATATGATTATATTGGGGGACAGTTTTAATAAGATAATAAATAATACTTTTGCAGTGCTCAAACCATAACTGTCGTGTGGCATATCATCCTCTCTGTGCACGAGCTGCTGGATTTTGTCTTGAGGTATGCAATTTCTCTGAAATGTTATGTGCTTCCTTGAATGCACTTTTCATCCTTTTTAACACTTGTTTTATGCATATGTATTGAGCATACGCTTTGGTTGCACCAACTTTATTTTATTTTATTATTATTGATATTATTTTTGTTGTGATTATTATTATTATTATTATTATTATTATTATTATTATTATTATTATCATCATCATTGATGTACATTCACATTATTGTAGCCTGATGACATGGAGAGACAACATTTGGTTCCTCTTGATGAGGACGAGGAGGATCAGTGCATCCAACTACTATCATTCTGCAGGAGACATAGGCCTTCATCTAATCAGCGGTTGAATTTTGATGAAAGAATAGAGCAGAAAAGCTGTTATAATGGAGATTATGTCCCACCTACAAATCCTTCTGGTTGTGCTCGGACTGGTAAGTATTATCCGGCCTTTTGAGCATTCCTTAACAATTTCTCATGGCTGTGTATACAAGTAGTAGTTTTGAATAATCAATAATGTTCGAAGAACATCTTTTCTCATTTTCTCTTCACACAAATTTTCCTTTTGACTGCCCTTACACTCCTGTCCTTGCCCAGATACTGGCAAGACAAGTACATTTCTTTTAGTTGTTTTTGAATGTGTGAAGTTATGTGTATTTTCATTAAATAGTAATGAATATTGCATTTTTATTGTGCATATTTGATTTGATTGTTTCTCTGTGTATGTGTTTAAATATTCCAACTTTCTATTAGTTTGGTAAAAGTGTAGAATAAATGATTATTAGTTTTTGAGGAAGTCCGAAGTGTTGGCTACTGTGTATGTAAATTAGTTAGAATTTAATGGTACACAGGGGTAATTTAATTTCTAATAATTAATATTCTCTTTCTTAAGAACTAAAAACTATCTTAATATAGTACGCTCATAGATATTGACTTTGAAATGCTAAGGTATGCTCTGACGTGACGAATGGAAGGTTCTATTCGTTATCAAATCTTAGTTTTTCGCATGTTCTAAATTAGTTCATTTGCTCTATGAATCTGTAGATAGTTGTTTACATCAGTTTTCCCATCTGCATCTGATAATAGCACCTTCTTTTCTTATTCAATGTTACATTGAAATTGGTAATTTCTCATGCTTTACCATTAAGAGAATGAACTGAACAATGTCCTGTTTTGACTAAATGGATGGCTTTTTTTTTTATCTTTTCCTTTTTGTGAACTATTCTGCTTATTACCCCCTCTTTCTGATTCTGTTCTAGTTTGATTGTAGTTGGGTAATCAAAGCAATTGCTTTTATGTTCTTTACTGGAACCATCTTTTGAAGGACGTAATATTTGCTCATTGATAATTTGATTATTTTTGTTTTTTGTTTGTCATTAGAGCCTTACAATTTTCTAACGAGGCGTGGGAGAAATGAACCTGAAGTCCCTGCTGCTTCATCAAAGCGATTGTATGTGGATAACCAGCCATATTTGCTGGGTGGGTGCAGTCGTCATATGCCCTTGTGGAACAAGATATCTTCCCATGAACTCACTGGTTCTAAATATTTTGTTGAACTTCAAAAGCTGCAAATCGCACAACTTAATCCATCTGACCAGATTCTTTCGGTGGCTGATAAGTATAATTATATGAGGGATACCTTCAGAAAAAGACTAGCATTTGGTAAACTTTCTGGACTATTACTATTATCATCATAATCATCATTATTTCTTACTATATCATCATTCCGTTCTTAAACTCCAGATGATCTGATGCTATAATTATAAAACAAGATAAAACTACTTGACTGCTGAAGAGGCATTGTGTTGACTGGAGCTCCATTTATCTATGTAACTAGCTGCATTATATTGGGTTATGAATAAGCTTCATGGATATCAACACTTCTTCTTGTATCCATGCAAATATCATTTTGAAAATTTCTTTTCCAGTTCTAAAATACGCTTTACTTGGCGATGTCCCACTATGTCAACAACAACTTCATGAGCTTATCAGCTTGTCTGATTTGTAAGATCTTGTTCTTTTAAAATGACCAATTACTGCATTTCTATGAGCCCTGTGTTGCATGAATTGAAAAACCTTGGGCAATGCAAGTGCTCTTTGTTGTGGTGCATTACCAAAGTTCTGGCAACTTGTCTGTATTTGATTGATTATTGTCTTTTGGCTGGTTAGATTATTCCGTTGATGAGGTTGGTATTCCATCCTCTGGTAGAGGAGTGATAGCAGTTGGTTTCGTCCTCAGTATATTTAATCTTTTTTTTTTATCCTTACCATTTATGTTCATCGTGTTTTAATATCAATTGGATCCTAAGTTAATGCATCAAAATGATTATTGCTGCTTATCATTTGATTGAGTAGCTTGGTTCGATTAGTTTCTGCAGGCAACTAATACTTACAGTATTCTCTGTTCTTAACTTGTTTATCATATCAAGCCTTGCAAATCTCTAGTTTATATATTTCAGATAGTTTGCAACGGAATAATTGTTAGGACAGAGATATTAAGGGTTTATATTTGTTCTCCCCAGAATCTGGAAAACTTGCCATTAGGAATGGCCTTAGGAATTTAACAATACTGCCTTCAAGAGATTTCCCTACATGTCATTTATAGTATTCAGCGTGGCAATTATTTCTCACCATCACACATAATATTAGTCTAAAAGCATAAGAGCTTAATTTTGTTAAAATAATAATATTGTGCATCTATATTTTCTGATCTTTGTTGGTGTGTGTCTTCCGTTGCGCAACTTGTTTGTAGCTTGACCTATTGATGCCCCCTTTGATGCATTGAATTAATTTTGTTGTGTGCTCCTTTGAACTATTATCTTCACTTTACTGCATAATGCACAAATTGTTTCGATTTCATTCATTAATAACCCAGTAGTGATAGCTGAGAAATACAGCGACCCTGAGGTCTAGTAAGGAAGGATTCTATACATGACCAAATAGTGTGTACTTGATTCTGATTTGTCATAGTTAATGGGAAATATATATATATATATATATAGTCTTCTTTGTTTCTCAAATGCTGCAGAAAGTAGCTATTTCATCACTGATATTTGAGGCTAATGTGGTTTACAGGGAAGTCTGGTATACATGGTTTTGGTGTCTTCACTAAACTTCCACATAGAGCTGGAGACATGGTAAATACTTTGAGAATTATAACTTCAAAATTAAGTTGAGTCATCAGATGTTAGATGTTCAATGCAAATTTTGTTTCTTTATAGGTCATTGAATATACTGGTGAACTCATTCGACCGCCAGTTGCTGACAGAAGGGAACATTTGATATACAATTCGTTAGTGGTAAGTGCTGGTGTTTGTTTGGATGAACGCGTTATTTAGCATAGGATGGTTTGAGAAACACAGATGAATGTCCAAGTTTATGAAAACGACTTTACCAAATTATAAATTAGATATCACCTATTTCATTACCCTATGATCACTGGTAGGCATCAGTGGCAGGATGGTAGCCCCTGAAGCATAAATAACCATGTTGCTTTGGGAGAGATTCCTTAATCTTTCTTGCTTTAGTCCACTAAAATTCATTGAAATTATTGATGCGGTCCACTCTAATCCTTAGCTATTAGATGAGAATGCTGATACTATGAGTTTTCAAATGTCATATGACTTGCACTTTTTTGGTTCAGGGTGCTGGAACTTATATGTTTCGAATTGATGATGAACGTGTTATCGATGCCACCAGAGCCGGAAGCATTGCTCATTTGATTAATCACTCATGTGAAGTATGTGTCAAACATTACAGTTTCACAAAGTTTTGATTCTATTTCCTCATTGCCTTTCTCTCATTCAATATGAAAACTAATTCAACAATTTTGTGGTGATGCTCCTGACAAGAATCCTTCGTTAATGATGGTTAATGTGAATTCTTGCTATTTTATCTGGGTTTCTGTTGATACTTCAGATGTCTTATGATTTAGCTTCTAGGTTTCAATTTTCAATATAAGATATACCTGCGTGTTGCTTGAGCTGTAACCTCGTTTATGTGATTCTTGTTCTATTTATTGGACTTGTATAATGTCATTTGTTGTTGCACCAAGTGATCGCATTTTGCTTCTTAATCTTTATTATATTTGTCACAAAATTCTCTACTTCGGATTTTGAGGTCAAAATTTTACAGTCAGAAGTTTAACTAGTTTCCCATTTCAGCCAAATTGCTATTCAAGGGTGATCAGTGTCAATGGCGATGAGCACATCATCATCTTTGCTAAACGAGATATTAAACAGTGGGAAGAACTGACATATGATTACAGGTTTACCCCTCATTATACAATTCCACTTAATTTCTCTCCACCAGAACACTGACTTTACTTGGGCATTGCAGGTTCTTTTCAAAGGATGAACAGCTTCTCTGTTATTGTGGATCTTCTAGATGTCGAGGTGTGGTGAATGATATTGAAACTGAAGAACGGGTAGCAAAGCTATTTGTACCCCGCAGCGAATTGAAAGACTGGCAGGGGGAATAAAGGAGGTAAACCAGTGATGGTTCTCTATAGTCTTTTGTAATTATAATACTGTTAACACCAACTTAAATTATAGAGACTAAATATTAACCACTGATTCTCTAGGTCATTTACCATAAAAACCCATATATTATGCATATAATGACCCCTTAATTCAAAATCATGAATTTTGCTTTCTAATAAGCATTTTTTTTTTTCCTTTTCTTGTGCATGTACCATGTTCTATTAACTTGGATCTATGTTTTATGTTGAATTCATCACTTCCAAAGTTTTTTCTTCTATAGCTTTTAGCGTAGATACATTGACTATTATGTGTAAATTCTGTTTAAAAATAGACTGAAACTATAATGGTGTTTATTGGAGGATAAGATTACATGTGAGATATGGAAAGTTGAAAAGACCTGGAGAAGATCAAGATCTAGAATGAAGGACATGAAATGATTTAGAACTGCAAGTGAGGGAACATAACGTCTGAGATAGATTTCTATAGTGGGAAGGTGTGGTAGAGCAATAAAGGTGTTAATAATCTTTTGAATATAATATATTCCCCTGTTAGGAATGTCTTTATGGTTGATGGTTAACACATAAAAGCGTTTGATACTTTGATCTATTAATTAACGAGGAGTTTTGAGAAGTGAAAGCACTGGAAGCATGGACTGGTCCATGTGAGAAAATTAATTATGGAACATTTAAATTCCTTATGCTAAGGCAATTTTTATTAATTCCTCAGTCTTTTCAAACCTTTAGGGTGTGTTTGGTACAGAGAAATTAATAAAAATTGGCCGCAGAGTTTGAGTAAGAGAAATGGAAGTTGAGAAATAAATCATTTCCATTTCTCTATTTTCATTTATCTATTTTCATTTCTCCCCTATATTCAGATAAATTGAGAGAAATGATGTTCCGGTATATATATTTTTATTTTTTTATTCTTTTTTGTACTATTTAATTTTTATAATTATTTATATTATATTATTTCAGTTTTACAAAAATTATTTTTAATTTATCATTCAAGTATTTAATTTTTTACAAAAATTTATACTAAAATATGATCTTACAAAACTTCGTATATAATTTATAATTTTTTGATTTAAAAAAAGTCATCATAAATATTTTTTCATGATTCTCACTTGCTAAAACTCTCTTTTGTTAGATTAATCATTTATTCTTGTCCGATCTATTCATTTTTTTTTTATATTTCTCAACTGAATTCTCTATTCTACCAAAGAAGAGAATTAATTCTCATTCTCTTCTCAATTCCCTTTCTCTCCAATTCTATTCTCTACTCTCATTTCTATGCAATTCCATTATCTGTACCAAACGCCCCCTTAGGGTATGTTTGATTTGTACTTCAAACAAACTTTTCTACCATTCAGCTCGTATGGTTCTCAATAAAAATATACTATTTTCTCTTACAAAATATTACATCAAAATACTATTTAAACTAAAATTCAAATGCAAAACTCAAACCTAAACCCACACCCAAACCCAAACAAACTTCTATTTTTCTACTTCTGAACTTTATCCACTTCTCTTTTACCTGTCGTACTGATATACACACTGCCACTCAATTCCAACTGGCCTGTTCAGTTGTGTTCTTCATTTAGGGTATGTTTGTTGGGGGTTTGGATTTTGAGTTTTTGAATAGTAAAAATTTTGAATTTGAATAGTTGTATGATGTGATATAAATAGGTGTTGATGTGATGTTTTGAATGTAAAATTGATTTTTAGTATAATATAAAAAATGAAAAATAGGTTTTTGATTAGATATTTTTTGGGGGAAAAAATGGGATGAATAGTGTATTTAAAATCCAATCGCCCAAACAAACACACCCTTAAATTATCTATTTCTTTTTTGAAAACCATACGCCTTGAGCATCATTTTTATTCCACTGCCTACACTACCTTCATGAAGTTTGTGGACTCTATACTTGTGTAATTTATATATACCATGTTGCACCTTTAGGATGTTCAAAGGCATAGGTTTTTTGACATGAGGAAATAGCGCAGTCTAAATTGCATAACGAAGAAGAGTGACTTCACCAGTGGTTATTACGGACATGTAAAAACATTAAAATGTTTATGCCTTAGGCAATTTGGATATTTGTCCTCACAGTTTTTAAGCCCTATCTTTCTTTTTCCTTTTCAATGTAGGTTTCTACCCATTTTGAGGCCCTCCCTCAATTGTTGAGCTGTGTACTGTGTGCCACTAATCTGTATCACATTTGTTTGCCCAAGCTGAGTACCTGTGCATGTAACCTGTGACAAAGTACTTCATCCACTGCTATCCCTCCTATGCTATGTGCTGCCTTTCTGTATGTGCTCAAACTGAGTGTCCCATCTGAGCCTTATTGCTTGTTTTTTTTTTCTTTTTTTTTTTTTTTAAGGAGTACAGATATTTTATTGATAATTAAGAAAGCATAGAAACAACACCATAGAATAGGAAATAAAGGAAGGGAAGAAGCTGTAAATTGATAAAGCAATGTTTCCTCTAGCGCCATGTTTAGGGAAGTGTTCTGCCACTGCATTTGTGCTTCTAGGAATACACTGGAAAGTAATGTGGGTGATCTTTCAAGGAAGTGCCGAAGCTTGTTGAACTCGGAATTCAATTTCCCAGACGGGGTAGAGATCCTTGCTAGAGCATTTTTTGAATGACATTTAACAAACATTTTTTTTTTTCTTTGCTGCTTGTTGGGAGTATTTTCCTCAAATGACTTGTGAATCACTTTTATTACATGATTGATTGTATCTGTCTTTGTACGGGTGTTATGGTGGTGTGACAATAATTCTGCCTGATTAGGCTTTTTTGTGAAAGTTCTACCATAACCTGTTATTGTTAAATCTTCTACAGTTTCAAGTCTAATGTAGTTTGTAGTCATACTCAGTACAACGAGCAAATTGTTATTGAAGCTTATGAATTCAACTATCATTGAGATGATACTACTAAACCTAGCGCCACAAGCTAAGGCTGATCTTGAGTTTGGTTAGATCACTTTTAAGTGCTGACAGTGTTTCTTGTTGCTTGACAATGCATGTAGTAAAAAAACCGTTCCCATTGACTGCCGCTTGAAACATCATATGTTTTATCGAAAGAGTTACATATGTTAGCGATTCTATTCTAACCTTAAATATATTTCCTTGTGTTTGAACACATCGAGAAGGCTCTCTTAGGTTCTAATGTCCTCTTTGGTTAATTTTTTATTTTGGGTCTGTGCGTGTTGCTAATATAAAAAAATAATATTGTGTTGAATTGTTGATTTTTGTGAGTGGATAGAGTATATATATATATATATTATATATTGTATGAGTATGTGTATATATATTGTATGAGTATGTATATATATATTGTGTTTTTTGTAGTATTAAACGGGAAGTGCTTATAAAATATAATTGGATGAACACACATTTTGTTTTTTTTCTGTTGATCAAATGGATGAACACACTCTTTGATTTACAATATTGTCATCTTTATATTTGTATTGTACTGATCTGGCCAGACCGGTCTTTATATATTTTATGCAGAAAAGCTTCGTTTCCGAGTGGCACAGCATCATGGACTTTAAAGATTTCATTTTTTTAAGGAAAGACACATATTTGTTCGATAGGTGAGCAGCAGATACAGATAATTTCTATAACATTCTCTGCTATGCTTCCTTCCATCATTTGTCCATTACTTCCTGATTGATAGCATCAATAAGGATTCTCATATTATTTATTAACCAACCTATATTGGAAATATATAGATATATATAATTTGTTTTTCACAATAGACCTTCATATAATAGGCAGGATTCTGTCTAAGGATGATGCCAATGTTAATGGATAATTTCTTTACCCCTTCTATTACATTATGTGTAGAAATGTGTATATACTCTCCCATTGCTTCACTTCTATTTGACTTGCCATTGGCTTTTGGTGCTTTTCTTCAGGTTTCTCATCCCCATATTATGTGTAAGTTGTGTTGGTTTTGTTGTCACATTCCTATTTTTTAGTTTCTTGTTTGTGAGAGAGTTCTTCTATGAATATATATATATATGTTTCTATTGACTGTTGAGTTTCTTTCTATTCTATTCAAGTCAAGATTTTATTGATAAAAATTGCTATTATTGTTATTGTTCTTCAGAGTACACTTGGATAGAATAATATATAAGAAATGAAAATTGTGATTATTAATATGTGCAATGTCAATACACATGATGAGGCAGTATATTTAGGTGTATTTAGATATATGTTTATATATGTAGGACTAGTATAATATATGTAGTTTGTTTATAAGAGATTGACTAAATATTATTAGGTAGTACTGAAATGAACTATACTTTATTGATAGGTTTGTTTATAATTATGTCGTGCATATATATTTAAATTATATACTTCTTCGTCCAGTCACACTTGACACTTTTTTTCATTTTAGTTTATTTTGTAATATTTGACACTTTTCTATTTTTATTAAATTTTATCTATCAAAAATATAATTAATAATTACAAATCAATATAATTAACTATATTTTACAAATATATAAAATTAATATTTTAAAACACTAAAAATAATGAAAACATATAAAATAAATATTTTAAAAGCACTAAAACTAAATAGAAATAGAGTAAACGCAAATTTAGCCCTGGCCGAACTCTTTTTTTCCTCCTATGTGCGAGCTGATTTCCGATGAAGAGAGATCTGTCCCCGCGCTGCCGTCGTGGGTTTCAAACGAGGTAGACACAGACCTCGATTTCTCATTCACGGGTACATATTTTTCTTCAATTGATTTGGTTGAGGTTGTTCTCGATATTTTTTCCCCTGACGAATCGGCGGCGGTGGCCCTTGGTGACAATCCATTCTCCTATGTAGCTGAAACACCCATTGAAAAACAACCTGTAGCCTTGATGGATATGTTTCTTCATTTTGTCCAAATTCACCATTGCAATTCAAACTTCCGTTCAATTGCTCTTCCTTTCATCTTCAAACTGTGAGTTTTGTATTGTCTTTTTTTGTTGCATTTGTGTTGTATATGATGAAAATAATCTTTCGGTGATAATGAAATGTCACCGACTGTTTTAATACAACAATGATGAGCTTTTATAAAACTAAATCTTTGTAGTATTGGATTTTGCATTACAAAAACTGTATATTCATTCACCATGGAGTACAATATAAACATTACAAAAAAATACATATACATGGCTAATATTTGTGCATTTTTAAAGCTTGCATTACTACTAGCGTAATTGTAATTGTGCATATTTGTACTTTTCACGAAGGTCTTTTTTTTGCTCATTCAAGTGTTATCTTTGAAAAAAAAGATATGATTGCATCTTGTACCTCAATATTTTTAGTCACATTCATTGTCTAGGTACAGCACCTTGTGCAATTAGTGCACCTTTCGTCATGTGTGGAATTTTGTACCTATTGTGTTCTCTAGTCTTTATTATCTCCATCATGCAATCTTGTAAGTTCAAGAAAACATTGTTTAGTTTTTCAACAATCAATTATTTAAACGATAAGATTAATGCATTCACTAATTCATTCACATTGTTGCAATCATTTTCAATTTGAATGCTTTGTATGGCACGAAACCGTCCTAGATCATTAACATTCAAGTCAGGGAGAATTGGGGGGTTGTTGAACCAATATAATGTCAAAACTATCACTTGTGGCAGCCCATCTAAAATCTGCATCATCATTTTTAATGTATGGTCTCGCATTATCTATCAAAAATTAGAAAGTATGTACATTAGCATCTAATCTTCTAAACATAGTGAATACAAACATTGAAATAAAATAACTTTTGATTGCACTAGTTTGAATAAATATTAGTTCAAACAAACTTAATTTATTCTAATATTTCGATGAAATAAACTTTCATATACTTACATTGTTGGTTAAGCAAAACTTAATCACATCCTTTGTGATTGCTTCAATGGGCTTAGTGATTGGTGTGCCTCTTGTACGATTTTTATTACTTCTTTTAGCAGTTTCTTAGTATGTGAATGGAAAAAATCCTATTTTTCCATAAAAAATCAGTGAACCGTCAAACTTGTATAGTAAAAACTGCACACAAGAATATGATTTTAGTAAAAAATGTTTTGTTTTGGCATATTCTATGTGGATGTTCCTCTTCTGGGTCATATAAAATCTATGTGATCCTCGAGTGATATAAAATCATTTTTCATTAATGTGTACATCATCCATGCATTTGAATTCAATAACTTGTTGTATTAATGCAACATCAGGTTGATCAAGTGCAAACTCCAGCCTGAGTAGCTTGTTTGCACCTGTCAAATCCGGTCTAAGAGCACTTGTGTAGGCTCTTAAGACTCCCGTAGAATACGACCTCTAAACAATGGTTTTTGAGCATTTAATTGATGCAGCAAGACCCCGAATAGATCCTATTTTTTCAAAGGAACATGTGCAATAATTTCATAGTTTGGAAGCACTTTCTTACGCTTCAAAACAATCTTTTTTTTTTTTTTTTAACTGCTTAATTGCACAACTCTACCATTTTCTAATTATTTTTTGGCTTCTTTCCAATACCGACTAACTGTACTTTTAGAATATCAAAACATTTTTTGTGCTTCCAACGTTTTACCAAAAGCAAGTTTGCAATTTTTGAGATTCATAAGTAAAAATTGCACTATAGCATTCATTTCTTTGTCACTAAATTATACTCCTTGTCATTGTAGGCTTTAGGTAAAAGAAAGAATTGTGTTATTTGATGTCGGAGAAGGTATAATTGAAAAGAAGATAAAAACATAGTACTATTCACTACTTTACATACTTCAATGAATTAAAAATTCATTAACGTTGAAGAATTAGTATACTTTTTTCAGAGCAGCTTTATGTTTCTTGTTGTTTTGATTCCATTATAATACCATAATGTTGACTGATTCTTTTATCCTAAAATACAGTGAATGAAGATGGCTTGTGCTCTTCTCAAGTGTATTTATAGCACCTCAACCATTTGGGGGGAAATATTACGAGGAAAATGAATTTTTTTGGCATTTGTTTAGGTACTAAATATACTTTTAATGATGTTGGATATTGTTGTTGTTAGTTGTGTTTATATTGGAAGGTAATGATTGCTTTCTCGAGGAAATATTAGGAGGAAAATGAATTTTTGGCAATTGTAATTGTTGTTTTGATATTAGAAATAATGATTGTCTTTTTGGAGGAAATATTAAGAGGGAAATTGTTTTGTTCTTTTTTGAAATTGTTGATTTTTGTTTTTATGTTAAAAGTATTAATTAATGTTGTTTGGATATTAACAATATTATTTTTTGTTGGTGGCGAATATTAGAAGTATTATTAATGTATTTAGAACCTTAATTTTTGGTTTTTGTCTCGGAGAAAATAACTTGTGTTTCCGCCGAACCGCTACCGGAGCTGCTATTTATCACTGTTAGCCATTGAATTTGAAATTAATTCTTCCCAAATTCACAAGAATGTTTTTTCCTTTCAATTTCATTTGCATACTTTAGGGAGTTGTTTGTTTGTGTTTAATTTCTCTAAATTTCATATTGCTTTATGGCTTTTCGTTATTATTCATATAAATTCGAAAAAATAAATTATTTATTTATTTATTTTTGTTCAGTTTGTGTTTTGATTTTCTTGTATTGATAGAATTGTTTCTAAAAGGTTTATAATGGTTCATTTGATGCATTTTGTAAATTGATCACTAATTTTCAATAGACATAATTTTTAAAATTTTAAATAAAATAAATAATTTTTTCTTCAATTTACAATTAAAATATTAATTTTAACCATTTTAATTTAATATATTTAAATAAAAATAATTTTATTTTTTTAATTATAAAATTACTATCAACACCACTTAAATAAAAAAATAAAAAATTAATATTATAATTCAATATCATTAAATTTTTAAATACAACTACCTTAAATACCATGCCCAACCCAAATGTGTCAAGTGTGAAGGAACGGAAAGATTACTATAATTAAAATGATATTGTTGAGAACCGTGTTATGCCTAAACAAATTTATGTACAATATAAATTGATTATACATATTATTTTGTAGGGTTATTTCAAAAGATAAAAATAACAATGACATGTTTTTAGGTTATATTATGTGTACTTAGTTATTACGGGTTTGTTTTGTTATAGTTTGAAATTGATTTGAAATGAAATATTGATTTGAAATTGATTTGAAATAAAATATTGATTTGAATTTTTACTTAAGGGGATGGTTACGGTCAATACTATGCTGATTTTTCACATCAGCACGCGTTATATATACAAACAACACAAATTAGTATTGCACACAATATATGTTGTATATAATAAAGGGATGTGCTGCTTTTTAATAATAAGAAGTTTGTTGAATACAATTATGTCATGTGCTAAAATCACTGTTGTGTGTATTGTATGAAACTATAGCATATGTGTTAGTTAATATGTTGTATTTGTATTATATTACATATACAATGTGTTGTCTGATTGTGTGCTGTCTGTAGTAATATTTTGTGTTGTTGAGACTATAACATGTATTTTTTGTTCATGTGCTGTATTTGTATTATATTAATATATACAATGTGTTGTTATCTAGTAATATAATGTGTTGTCTAATAGCACATGATGTGTTGTTCAACACAGTGCTGAATTTTATCATGGTAGCCGCTACCTTTATTTAAATAGTATTTTGATTTAATATTTTGATGAGAATAAATAATATATACTAGGTCAATAGTGTTCTTGAATTTAGAAATTGTAAAAAAAATTTTGTAATTTCCGTAGGTTGTTAGATTATGAACATGTTTTAGCTGGTTAGTGTGTTATGACAATCGGAAGTAAGAAATTCAATCTTTTTTTATTTTATTTTATTTGTAATATTTATTAACAAGCATAGATCATGAAAATAGTAGCAAAAAATTATTTTGTGTTACAATACACGT